GAGAGAGAGAGAGAGAGAGAGAGAGAGAGAATGTTTTACGTAGCGGGTTGTCCCAGCCCATGAGACATGTATTTACTAATGTCCTGTCTTGTTGTGTGTTTGCGTGAGTGCACCTTTAAGTCTAACTTTAATAACGTCTACTGCCATTGTTAACGACCAAGACAAATTTCTCCCTGCGAGATGAATAACGATTGTCATTGTCATTGTCATTGTCACATTCTATATTTTCGTATATAATCAAAGCATAACAGACCGTGGAGTGATAACAAGTCTTTTCCTGAGGCGGCTTGCGGGGATTTCTTGTTCTTTTCTCAATATGAGGCCCACTGAGATGAAGAAGGGCTTGACAAATTTCAGGTCGTATCCAAACGTTTGAAACACATTTTTCCTCATCCCTTGAAACTTCATCCAGAAGATGATGATATTCTTCATGAATTCCAAATCACCTCTTCGTAGAAAAATACTATGTGTCCAGTACCGTTTTGGGACGCGACGTCTTCTTTTCATCCAGAACAATAAGAATAACTTGAAAAGCCTCCATTTTTGCTCAACACAGGGGTAGCAAACTCAATACCATGCAGATCTACTGTGTTAATGACAACACCGGATGTTCACGAACGGAAAGTGAGAGGAGACAAAAAACATGTGGCATTCGTTTCTCTCCCTTGTCTATTCCGGTCAGGGAAATGGGTCAGACTGGAAACGAAAGAGAGAGGAGAAGAACAGGAATGCACCAAGGAGTTTAGAACTAAGTTTACTTTTAATCTCCTTGGAATGCACTCAGTTCTTGAGCGTAGTCAAACAGGCCAACAGAAGTTTGCAGATAGTTTTTCTCAAGCTTCTTTAGCCTATTGAGATCATGGTTAAGATAAGTAAAGAGCAGAGAGCTTTTTGTATTGGACATTTCTTCACCTAAAACTCATTTCGTGAGTTTAGCACAAGGTGCGGAAATTTTGTTAAAGTGTCCTTAAGGCTTGTCTTGAACATCTAGCTCTCACTGGCAAAATTGAGGGCAAGCGATGCAGGGGTAGGCCCAGAACAACATACTTAGGGAACCTAAACAAATGGGTAACAGGGAAAGATCAGGGAAACGTAGCTTTTTTTTAGAGCATCCGAGCAAAGGAATGAATGGAAAACCATGATCGCCGATGTCTGTCGCAGATCTGGCACTGGATGATGATGATGATGATGTCCTTTAGGCCTCCTTTGGTGTCAAGGGTGAAAACGATCTATCTGTTAGGACCTGTATGGAATCAGAACTAAAAATTCCCAAAACAAACGCCACTTCAGGTCAACCACACCCCATTCACACCCCTTTAAACGACACCAGGGCGCAGCATTCAGTAGATGAGCCCCATGAGACGTATGTCCGGAGACAATGTCTGCACCTTGGATTTTCCTACATCTCAACGGTCTGCATTCTCAAGGTGGATCTTCATCTACGACTGTACCATTTTCGTGTTCGCGAATCTGACATGGATCAAGGAATAGCAATGTGTTCATGATTCCTAATCTTCCATCGTATTGAAAAGCGTGAACATTTCCTCTATGGCATTTGATTCATTGAGAAAGCCTATACGTGTACTACTGACTGAAGTTGTCTTTAGTCCATTCCCAAAGGGCGGATATTAACATTATTACACACAGTAGAATAGTAAATGGGCTGATTTATCAATATCATGCTCACACTGTGCCGGAACAACATAGGAGGAACTGCTGCTCCCCCCCCCCTCATCCTTACAATCGTCATTTTCCCTCTACTTCTTTTGTATGTTTGTCACTCCCAACAGGCTCGGTCCTTTCGGAGATGAACATTAAACTCTTTTATTTTTGGCAGTGTGATAACTTAGAATTACAAAACTATACCTCACATTTTTGGAAGTTTTGAGTTACTAAAACCATAAGGTCAGAAAACACCAAAATGCTATATCAGGTCTGTGAAAATCGTAAGACGGAGTTGTTATCGAGCTTTTCAAAGAATTGCATTTGAAACAACGTGGTATATTATACTTTGTAATTCTCGGGTATCGAGTAGGCGAAATGGCTGCACCAGGAATGAGCGACTTTGAGGTCATCGAATGGTATAATAGGTTACAGTATCGAAAACAGTAATACGAGGGGCAAAAACACGACAAACACGTGGAAACTCGTTTTTAATGATTTAAACCGCGAATTTCAACGTTTCCACAGCTCTTCTGATCCTGTAATGGAAACCTGCTTTTAAACAAATCTGAATATTCTCTTGTGGTACCTTCTGGTATTAATTTTTTAATCTTTCCTTTCTTTTGTTTTTTTGCTTGGGTACCATAAATAATCTTTGACCCTCAACCATGAGTCAAATTGTGATGATGTCTGGCTTCTCGGTGGATTAGAGACAGCGACCGCAAACGGCAAATGAGATGTTTTATTCCTACCACCCATGATACATATGCTTTGCCCTACCCCCAACCCCTCCTCTTTGTTTTGGTAAGGGTTTTCCAGCTCTTGCAAATGCATAAGG